AAATAAATAAATAAATAAAATATTATATATCTTTCACTTAGAAATAAGTTAGTAAAAATAAACTTCCAATTTGAAAGGCATTTATACTGAAATCTTATTGATTCTGGAAAGTTAGTTTTATTTCTAAACATATATCTCCAGGGCTGCTACCTTTCTTTCAAAAACAGTACTCATTGATTTCTTCAAATATAGTTCTAATACTATAAAATGATGCTTTGTATCATTATTTTAAATCTTGATTCAAGATGGTTTTAAACGTTTGCAATAATTAACACCCATCAAAAATAATAGAATAATTTAATTGAAACGAAATTCAGTTCTACTGTCTCCAGTAAGCTTACTTTATGATAACTCTTGCTGGTTTAGGACTCAAGCTTAGGATCAAAGTACCTTCATATTGTGATCTGAAATGAAAACGATGGTCCAAAACTTTATAGCATCCAAATGACTATGTAATTCTTTTAAGGACAATAAAGAAATCACATTAAAAAAAATCTCAAGATACAAGGAGTCCTATTCACAAGTTTTCAGTAACTGGAGCTATTGCCAGAGAAGCATTGGCATCTTTGCTTTCAGGGTCTCCATAACTTGGGGTCCAATAGTAATACTGTTTCAGGCCATGGGAGACTTCTGCAAGGTATGTTGTCCCATCCACTTCATATGCCTCCACATCTGTGCCGGTTGGCGCCAAGCGGCCACTTTTAATTAAGTCTGCGAATGCCTGAAAGATAGAGATCAAAATGACCGAGGGCCCAACCGTGTGCAGTGACAATGACATTTCTTTTAAAGGTGCAACTGTAATTGTTGGCTGCACTACTGAAAGAAGAGAATTGATCTTCCCAGCACTATTTTGTAACTGAAATCTCTCCCAGTCCTACATTCTCATCTTCTATGGCAGCGTTTCTCAAACATCCTAATGCCTCAGGTTGTGGTGACCCCCAACCATAACATTATTTTCATTGCTATGTCATAATTGTCATTTTGCTACTGTTACGAATCGTAATGCAAATATCTGATATGCACGATGTATTTTCATTCACTGGATCAAATTTGGCAGAAATACCCGATATGCCCAAATTTGAATATTGGTAGGGTGGGGGGGAGGGTTAATTTTGTCATTTGGGAGTTGTAATAGCTGGGATTTATAGTTAACCTACAATCAAAGAGCATTCTGAACTCCAACAACAATGGAATTGAACCAAACTTGGCACACAGAACTCTCATAATCAAGAGAAAATACTGCAAGAGTTTGGTGGACGTTGACATTGAGTTTTGGAGATGGGGTTCACCTACATCCAGAAAGCATTGTGGACTCAAACCATGATAGATCTGGACCAAACTTGGCACGAATACTCAATATGCCCAAATGTGAACACTGGTGGAGTTTGGGGGAAATAGGTCTTGACATTTGGAAGTTGTAGTTGCTGGGATTTATAGTTAACCTACAATCAAAGAGCATTCTGAACTACACCAACAATGGAATTGAACCAAACTCTGCACAAAGAACTTCCATGACCAATAGAAAAGACTGGAAGGGTTTGATGGACATTGACCTTGGGTTTTGGGGTAGGGGTTCGCCTACATCCAGAGAGCATTGTGGACTCAAACAATGATAGATCAGGACCAAACTTGGCACAAATACTCAGTATGCCCAAATGTGAACACTGATGGAGTTTGGGGAATATAGGTCTTGTCATTTGGGAGTTGTAGTCGCTGAGATTTATAGGTCACCTACAATCAAAGAGAATTCTGAACCTCACAATTATAAAATAGGGTCAAACTTCACTCTGTTTTGAAGGGATTCACTGGCATGAGCCTCCCTCCATCTTTGCACACTCTGCCTCGCCCACACATGCACACCATGCTACCATGCACCAAGCACGCCTGCTCTCCCCTCCCTGCTTGGAGTCTCAGAGACAGCCCTCCCCTTGGCTGCGAGGCTGGTTGAGAGGCCAGCCAATCACAACGGAGGAGGGCTTTTGGTGGGAGGATTCGCAGTCTATTTCCAAAAAGGAAGAAAGGGACAGGCAGAGAGATCTTTAGCCTTCTCAGCCAGTGGGGTTCCGAAGACCATCAGAAATACATGTTTTCTGATGGTCTTTGGTGACCCCTCTGAAACCCCCTTGCTACCCCTCCAGGGGTCCCGACCTCCAGGCTGAGAAATTCTGCTCCATAGTGTAAATAATTAAGCTAATTAACTATGAGAAAATGAAGAAGACATACCACACAGGTGTCGTCATCAAATTTGTTTCCCCATATATAGATGTAGGAAAGGACTGAGTTTATTTTCATTGATTCCGATAGGGCAACCAATCCTTCTCCAGAGATATTGTTGTGTGTCACTGCTAACCTAGTAACCATAGTAATACAAAGCAGAAAAGAGTCATTATTCAAAGACAGACAATCTAGTTTCCTTGGCCTGCATGAACCACAAACCAACACTGTCGTTTTTGCCTTAGGATTGCTACCCACACAACCCTTCCCTTATCAGTCTCTATTTCTTTATCCCCAACATTCAAACAGAAAGAGGGTGAAGGTGCCATTCCTCCACATTACAAGATTCATCTTGGTTTCCAAAACTTGAAACTGCCTGCTATTTTCAACTTTTCCTGTACAACCTTCTTATCTATTCAGGGTGCTTAAAACCTGTTAATGTGGATTATAAATCATAACATATAACATATGTACATATAATATTGATTAAAATATTGTAATACAATATGATAATAATGCAATATAATATAATAATTATATATTTTATATTGCATGTAATGTTAATAATATTGCAGTATAGTGGTATAGTACAATATATAATAGTAATATTGTGCTACACTGATAATATAATGTATTGTATGTACGGCAAAAAGAAGAGGGGCCGACCAAGGGCAAGATGGATGGATGGTATCCTTGAAGTGACTGGACTGACCTTGAAGGAGCTGGGGGTGGTGACGGCCGACAGGGAGCTCTGGCGTGGGCTGGTCCATGAGGTCACGAAGAGTTGGAGACGACTGAACGAATGAACAACAACAACATGTATGCAAAACTTGTAAGCAGCTCTGAGTCCCTTTTGGGGTGAGAAGGGCAGGATATAAATGTCGTAAGGAAGGAGTAACAATGGTGATCAAATGAAAAAGGCTCTAGAAGGGGATTTCAAAGAAATATCCTGACTTTCTCTGCAACCTCTCAAAGGAAGCTGAGCTGAAACTTTTGGATCGCACATGGCCACCCCAGTGATTACATGACCAGCTCAGCGAACTTCTCAGCCCAGGGCTGTATGTTCCTGTCCTGGTTGTCACAGTCGTGTTTTGCTGTGAAGTGTAGCATCCTTTGTTGCCATATCCAAAAGCCTGTTCTTACAAAGTGGGAATCTAGGAGCTCTGCATACTAACGCCTGAAGGGTCCGGTTATAAGAAGTCAGTGCCTCACTCAGGTAGAAAGCGCCATCATCTTCTATCCTGTTAAAATTAAGATCCAGGATTTCCAAGGTGCTGTTAATCTTCAACAACCGTCCCAGAAATTGGACACCGTCTCGAGTAATTTTGTTACTGAAAAGAGACAAAGGCAGGTTTACTTTGCAATAAAATTTCAGAGGATCGGTTTTGAAAATACATCTCAAATCCCTCCCTCTCCTCATCTCTCTCATACACTCACAGAGCAAAGTTAAATTCACTAGGCATTGTTCATAAGGCCTTTGCCAAGGAAGATCCTTTCTACAAAGTCATTTTGTGCCCTTCCAGTCCTCCTTTCCCCTTTCAAGGTGGAAGTGTTAGCAGCACTGATTTTGAGAGAATAGTAAAAGGAAATTAGAGAAAAAGATTTTTGATTGGAGCAACATGACTGCAAAAAAACAATGCAATACATCTTGAACTGGAAAAAATGGACATTACTGTTGCCAATCCTATGGTAGCTATCTCCGTTTGCCTAAAAACAGACAAGGTAAAGGCAGGTGTCTCTGGAATACATTACTGTGCATTAATGAAAAGCAAAACAGAAATAGGAAAAGCCTGCCTCTCCAGCTACCCCTCAACACATTGAAGAAGCACAAATTTATACATTTGAATACTGAAATGAAAATCTGTTGTTGAAGGTTTTCATGGCTGGTATCACTGGGTTGCTGTGAGCTTCCCGGGCTGTATGGCCACATTCCAGAAGCATTCTCTCCTGACATTTCACCCACATCTATGACAGGCATCCTCAGAGGTTGTGAGGTCTGTTGGAAACCGGGCAAGTGAGGTTTATATATCTGTGGAATGTCCAGGTGGGAGAAAGAACTCTTATCTGTTTGAGGCAAGTGTGAATGTTACAATTTGCCACCTTGATTGGCATTGTCTTGCATTGTAGTGCCTTTCTTGTTCCTTGATTCGGGTTTGGGCACTGCATTTGGTGAAAGACAGATTAATTCAACTAGAGAAGTCAGCCATAGCAGAGCACTTGATGAGCTAACCTGGACACAGCATATTATTTGAGAACATAGAAATGCTGGATCACTCTAACAACCATCATGTCAGACTACACAGAGAAGTCATTGAAATCTACAAGTATCTGGACAATTTCAACAGGAAGGAGGAAACCATGAAAATGAACAAAATCTGGCTATCGGTATTAAAAAAACTCATGGCTTACTTTGCCTGGTTGGTTCTTTATTCTGGTCAAAGCTAAGAGTTTCAGTTGCAATGCCTACCAAATAATGCTGCACATCCATCCAATATAAATAGTATTAGCTACTGTTTGTATGCAAGTTTCCAGACATTGTTCAAACTGAAAACTCAGAGAATAGATCTTATTGCAAAAAGTAGCACTGCATCCATTTTAACAATTTTATTACATATGCTAATGCATATGTAATATCTTATGAAGCTAAAAAGGCGTCTTCCAAACATGAGAAGGAGGAACAAATTAGTGATTCAGAAGTCGCTCCACCTAGGACAGCTAAGTAAGAATCCTACTGTTGCACTCCAGGTCTGGAAATGCATATGACCAGCGCACCACACTAGAGTCCAAAAATATAAGCAAACAGTTTATTGTAAAAATGTATAAAAAAACATATAAAATCAGGAATAAGAAAGGAAGATATATACCCCAAAAAGGTTTAGCAATTGGTGATAACTAGACAATAACCCAAATGTCTCATAAAGTTCCAGAGGTGACAAAGTCCAGGAACAGCCAGAAATCACAGATACAGCATAAGTCCACAAAAAAGATGGTATAACTAGTAAAACTTGACCTGGAGTACATGAACAGGAACACAGAAGACTTCCAGGATATAGAAAATCCAAAATCAAAGCTTGACTTTAACCAGGAACAAGAGAACTCAGGCTTGGCTTCTCACTCTAATGCAGTGTTGCCTGAACTGACCTTAAGGTAAACAACTTGTTTAATAGACACCCATGAAATCATTTTGTTTCCTGTGAATTTCCTTCACATCTTTCCCACATAATCTCCCTGAATGATGCAGTCTATTTTCAGCTCTGATTTGTAAACAAAGATTATTGCTGATCTCTATAGCTACAGGTAGGTTCTCATGGGAACCCTCTTTATCACTCAGCTCTTTATTTGATTCCTTATCTGTTGTTCCTACTTCTGACTCCCCTGAATGCCCTTAAGGCCCTGCACTTCCCAAGCCAGTTTTCTCACAGAGAGAACTATTATTTCCCAGACTTGAATTTCCCAGATTTGAGAGCCCATCACATTGTGCCACAGGAAAGATCACAATCCTCTAAATCATCAGTTAAACCATCAGCTTCTGGTGGCTGATCTACAGCACAGTCATGCTCAGAAAACAACATACGGGGACTTTTTGTTGGGCTGCAGGAGAGAAAATGAGGGAATTAAATGCCATATCAAGAGTCATGAATAGAAGCACTCCCTTCTGCAATATTCTATCCCACTTGTATACTTCTAATATCTATCCATATAACCAGTCTCTCTTACCAGCTAAGATCAAGATATCGAAGAGTGGTATTCTCATATAATGCATCACACAGGCGTTCCACGCCAAAATTCTTCATTTCATGCTTGCACAAATGCAGTTCCACAAGGACGCTGTTGACTTTCAGCATGAGAGCTATGTGGACTGTGGTCTCTTCCTAAAGTTCAATAATATTAAATTACATTTGGGACACAGAGACAATGGGGGTCAAGCAATATGCCTGTTCCATATGAAACATTTAGCCAGATCAGCTGGAGGAAAATTATCATTGCTGTACAGACATGGATGGGAAAATGCTTATTACATTATGATGATATTTCATCTACCCAACTCTGGTGCTAACATGCTTATCTGCAAACATGAAGATGGCAGTGCCCTGTGTCTATATTATGTCTATCTCTGGAGTGCAGGACCACAGCCTGACCCAAAATTAACATCTTTATATGTGAAGGAAAAATAATTGTTGACAATTAATTGTGGTACAGTTGAACAAAGAATATAGCTCCTGCTGAGATGGATAAGAACACAAATAAAGGTAAATGAGGTGAAAAACAAGCATTCAAGCACCTTTTACACAACTGGAAAAGCTTACTGCATAGAGTTTTACATTCTAGAGATTTGCCCTCTGGCATTTACCATAAAGGGCCTGTAATTTAAAAAAATATCACTAATAAAGCTTGCAAAAAACAACAGTTGTGAAGACCTAATTCATGTCCCCCAATAATATGCTTCCAGTATTTCTGTTGATATATTTTTTTCCCAGTTGTGGCTGCAGCATTTCCGCTTTCTACCCCACTGCAAGTAAACATATCCCTGATGCTTACCTCTTCGCTGTAAAGTATTGGCCGGTTTAGGTTTATGGCTCTGATGGATTCATGCTGATTCAGAACTGTTGCTAAAGCTATGAGACTCTGTGTGTGCTGAAAATAAAAAAGGACATTATCCATAAAACCTCATTCAATCCTCTCTGTTGTAAGTGACAAAGTGCCACTTAACTTCCATGTGATGAAATGGGCAACCAAAGGCTCCCAATCCCTCTTTTGGAACCTACCAAACTTCTCAGACTTCCTTTTCTATCCCCCCGCCCCAAAGTAGTGATGTCACCTATCCTAGGATCCTAGGAAACACACAGAGATAACCAACAGCAATGACCAAAAGTTCCAGGAATGATCTTAGTGGCGGAAAGGCCACATGCGCAGTATGGAAGTGCTGTCTTTGTAAAACCAGGCCTCCAAGTCAGCAGTGCCCATAACACTGAAGAAAACAATACAGGGGTTATAACAGAAGAGCTTAGTAACATCACAATTACCTCTATGGAAAAGAGCCCAAATGAAGAGTTTTGTTTTTCCTCTTCTAAGAACTTTGATAGGCACCAAAGGGTGGTAGTAAATGGTGATTTTAACAGCCATAGCCACATATGGGGCTATGCCCGGAAGGACAAAAATTGAGAGGCTGTCCTCTCCTAGGCTGAATGGCACAAACTATCACGTATTCATGATAGTAAGCTCCCACCATCCTACAACAGTGGGAGATGGCACCGAGGATATAACCCTGACTTCCTATTTGTGATGACAGCATTGTGCAGCAATGCATTAAATGAGTGGGACCACCAATACTAAACACACAGCATCGGCTGATAGTATGCAGTTGTTCCTAACTATGAGGCCCCAGGAAGTTCGATTTAAATGAAGATTCAACTTCAGAAAGGTAGAGTGGTCTAAATTCTCAGCATCATATCAGTCATCCCAATCCCTGAGGAATACGAGCACTTTATCGAAACAGCCTCAGAGGAAGGCAATGGCAAACCTCTTTTGAGCAAGTCCTGCCAAGAAAGTCTTGTGATAGAGTCATCTTAGATTTGTCATAAACCTGAAACAACTCGAAGTCAACCAACACAACTGCTTCCCATTATCCCAGTGGCAGGAGACTGGCACCCAGAACCGCTACAGTTGCCAGCCCCAAGGCCAGAGAGACTGCCTCAGATATCCATTATTTGTTCTGATCTTCACTGTCTCTTATTCTTATCCTAGATTGTTAGTCTTGAAGTCTGTTTTTTTTAAAAAAAGGTAATTCTGCTTTGCTTTGATTTCACTTACCAGATCACAGTCTGCAAAATCTAGCTTCTGTAGTGTGCTGTTAACCTGCATCATTGCTGCAAAATACATTCCTCCCTTGTTGTTGATCTTGTTGCCTGTCATCCTGAGATGAAGCAGGGTTTCATTCCTCTAAGTATAAAAAATCAATTATTGGCTTGCAAAAGTCTCTAAAATGTTAACATTTGCTATGGACTTAC